CCCCCAGCCTCCTTATTGTGTTTTTATATTACTCTTCTAAAAGTCTCTTCCCTACTAAAATAGGTCCTATTAGCCATAGCAGAAGACACAAGTTGTCTTAATCCTCTTCTCTTTCTATTTTGCTCAGGAAATGTTTTTCTCTTTTTCTCAGCTGGTAGGTTTGCCATTGTTAGACATTAACGGACGGACTGTTATTAAACTTATTCAAGAAGGATAGAAAAGAGTTACTTTTTTTTTGCATGAAAGTGACAATATCATCTTTTTTTTCTCCTTTTTCTCCCCCTTGTCTAAAGCTTTTAAAAATTAGTTGAAGAGCACGGCGCACCGGCAGTGGAATTTTAGTTATAGGGGGGGGGTTTCCCGCCGAGCACCTTATCACGTCGGGTTCACGGGGGTCAGCTCCCTGTCGCCGCTCTGTCTGAGCTGACTTCATTTTTGGTACTTTTCAACGTAAACAGTTTTAGGTGTATCCTTGTATTTACTATCATTTAATTTACCCAAAACACGCATTTCTGCCCTTGAGACCCCCCAAAAAAACGGACATTGTAACTTGTCTGGTTATTTTGTTAGACCCGATGTAGTCGGCAATGCTAAATTGTAAATTTGTTCGTACAAGTGTGAATGAAAAAAATATCAATATAAAATAAAAAGCACAACAAAAACTGTTGAACTTTTGAGACCTGAACGACATAGCTTTGGTGCAGGTACTTAGAAAAGATGGTATCTGCGCATATAATAGGAAGCTGTAATTTTACCACTTTACCCATCTAGCACACAATTCGCTATGAAGTAATTCCTCCAAATACAACTGTATGTGTCTTATATAATCGGGAATATTCGCATATTTTCTCTAAAGTTTATCAAAACTACCCTGATGTCTCTCTGTGAAAAAATGCAAACCGATTTTAGTGCTAGAATACGTCTACAACAATGTAATACACGAACAGTAGGCTATCAGTTTTACTCTCCATAGATTATTCCTTTTTTTCTTAAAACGCTAGATCTAGGTTTTGAAAGTTGACTGAATAACAGGGATGACTTCTCATAATTGTATTTTATAAGAATAATTTCTTGCTTTCCAGTGACACTGAATCAGCACCAGGCTTTTCAAGCTTTTATTTTCGTTTCTATAACTATTTGTAATAACTGACAATGTTCTGATTTCTTTACATTCATAAGTGTCCGTGCATATGTCCGACACAAAAACTAAGAATGAATGTTAGCTGTCATTATTAAATTTTATTCCATACAAGAAGTTCATCTCTACCCATGTATTAACACACTTTTGTGTTTTTAAAAAATCTTATAATGTATATATATCTTTCTTAGTTGTATGCAGGCTGCCACAGACACAGCATGATTCATGAACAAACACAGAGTAACTTTCTCTTGTTTAATGGTAGAACAAGAGCTAATGCTGAGTGTCTTTTGTTAAAAAATGCAGATGTGCATCTTTCTTCTTTTATAACTTGACTATTAAGTACTACTCGCGCAGATTTAAGATTTCTCATGGTAAAAGACATGATATTCGTAGTCAGTTTAACACAGATTTTGGAGAGATCTGTCGTGCCTTTTTAAAATAAACAATAATTTATTCATAAGTATGTAACTAAAATAGGACATATTGGGTACTCTACTAACACTTATCTAGAACAAAAACTAAGGCACAGAAAGTAACCATTCTAACACAGAATAAATATCTAGCCATTGAGCTTTTAGAACATGCGTGTAATGGTTTGCTGTGTGGAATGAGGAAGAAGTTATATCGTTTCAAACGTAGACAAAAATGCGAACTTCTTAACCGACAGCGGCAAATTTGCTTCAGGGTTCATTAACCCCGTGACCCCGAGCCGGGGAGCTCCGGCGGGCTGCCGAGTCACGCTAACTAAAGGTAACAGAATTGGGCGAAAAGTGACGCCGTGAGAGACAAAAAATGATTTGTCATATGTAATTGCTGGAAAAAAATTTTCTGACACAATATGCATAATTTTGCAATGAATGTTTTCTGTACTGTATTAGGCTTACAGTTTTTATTTCTGATGTAAATTGATATGTACAATGTTTTTTTCTATTCTTTTATCCTGACACAGGAAATCGTTGACCGGAAAATACTGATGTGTCAGAAGTATGATAATGGTAAGATTATCCTTGAAAGTTGATACAAGATCATTGTGAGTATGAGTGGTCTTTGTTGCGATTAATAATAAACTGTGAGATTTTATCAGTGCGTTAATGTTATTGTCCTCACTGGACATAAGTGAATATATGGTGAGACGGTACTGATATTTTCTCACGAGATAGCTGGAAATTGAGAGCTTGGAAATTATAAGTTGAATTTAGGACATGGTTGTTCTACTTATTTGTTGTCACTACTTGCTTTTATATACAGCATTGTACCCCTCAGGGCGGTGCTTCTGACTAAAGTGTCTTAAGGCCATTCCCAAAGGGAGGACATTAACCATGTTCTTATGCACGGTAGAATTGTAATTGTAAATGGGCTGATTCATCAATGTCATGCTCATAACTGTGCCTGTACTGCAACAGGAAACTGCTGCTTTTTCTTTCCTAATCCTTACTATCGTCATTTACCTCTACTTCTTTTGTATGTTTGTCCCTCTCTTGTGAAATGCTTTTTTTGAGGTGCCTTGATAGTCGAAGCAGACTTTGTGCAGTTGAAGCTCGAGAGCTGAGCAGATTAGTCATATTCCTTGTAAGGACTTCTCTGTTGACATCCACCCCTTGGCGCTCATATGCAGTTGTGAGCGCCGTAAAACCTCTACTAAAACAAAAACAAAATATACAGCACTGCACTGGGAAAATGCAGTCCGGTTTCCTTCTACTGAACTATTGAAGAAATATATTTTGTTAGTTAATCTTTCCATTTTAAAAGCAAACTTGTTGTTTTTTTCAGAGCTGCTTGGAACAACTGACTTCATCTTGTCTGATGGTACGGTGGTGTTCCGCACTGCGCCTCGGGAAAAGGAAAAGCTTATCTTTCAGATTGTAAGTTCTCATTGATGTCTTTACATCTCTGTTGATTGTTAAGTCTTTTCAGCTTTACTGTTGTTTGAGAAAAGCATCCTCTATTTAGTGAATGAATGATCATGAGGTATTTTTGTTCTTTTTTCTGGTTCTTGACATCACTCTTCTTCCTTCATTTTACAACACCCGCTTGTTGACATTACAAATTCAGATATTATTTAATTTTTTTGTTGATGTAACTAATTTTTTTTTAATTGTCCAGTTTCTAGCAAATTTTTATTTGATCTGACTCATACAAGTTACGGTATGAGACTTTGAATGTGGTACAGCTGTGGATGTGTTTTGTTGGTCTGTGCATGGTTTTTAAGTATTCAACCTATGTTGAATTCTGTGTGGAAGAACAAACGGTGGGAACGCTACTGTGCTTAGTTTCTTTAGAGTCTGTTTACGTTTAAATTGTTCATATTTAGATTATCCTTTTAGCCTTGATTTTTCTGCTCCTCAGGGAACATGTGATGCCAAGCGTGCTCTGGCTGCGGCTAAGAAAATGTGAGCTTTTTTTCTTTCATCTCTTGACCGCTTCACTGCTGCTCAGCGTACGATGTACGTCTATAAATCAGGCCCTCCTATGCGCTGTAGACGTACAGTGTACGCCGGGCAATATCGCTATTTTGTTTCATTTCTTACTCAGCCGGTAATTGCAATTTAGTATCGAGAGTGGACTCCCCTGGAAGCTCTTTTATTCCCGAGTTAGAGAAGCTTTAGTTTGCCTTGATTAGACCAACAATGACTGAAATAGCGTGAATTATAGCGTTCTTCTCTAGCTCTGAGCTATGCCTGATCACTCACGATGTATGCATGTATCAAGCTATTGACGAAATTTTTGCTGATGATGATAGTGGTTCATTCATTTCCCTTTAAAATGATATACATTGTTATGCGTTTAATACAGTACCACAGAGTAAATAGCATTTTATAAGGATCACGCGTTTGAGTGCTATTCCTGGAAACAAGTTCAGCTTAGGTGAGCCGTGAAGGGGTTGAATAAAATTTAAGATTTTCTAGAAAAACCTTTTCAGTTAAAAAAATGAATATGTTGTCTTACAGCATTGCATTTTTTCTACCCTTCAAATTAATAGTACTTCTAAAGAATAATTTGTACCCTGGATGAAAGTCAAAGGTTTCTTTCTGCTTGAGGCAGGCATACTGTTTACCTGAGATACAGGTAAGACACAACATACAATTTACCTGAGGTGCAGGTGAGATACACATACTGCTTGCCTGATGTACAGGAGAGAAACCACATACAGTGTGACTGAAGCACAGGTTAGATACCACTTGCAGTTTACCGGAAGAACAGGTGAGACACACATTATAATGAAGTATGCATATCACTGAGCCATACTAAAGAAACCTCATAGCAACTGTGGCAATGTAATGGTAGTTTGCCACTTATATTATAAGAGACTGGAATCGGATGTATGTAAAATGTAGTGACTATCAATGCTTTCACTTTATGAATTATCCTGTTTATTTTATTTATTTAATAATTTTTTTTCAGACAAGATTTTGTAGCTGGGGTGGACATAAACATGGGATGCCCTAAGGAGTTCTCGGTCAAGGTTTGTTCTTATACTGGCGATCCCAGTTAAATTTTTTTTTAATTGTTTTTTCTGCTGACCACGTCTTGTGTTATGGTTGTGAAAATATATCTTGTCATACAATTGTGAAAGAACATTTCTGTTTAAGTAGGAGTTTTACGGCACTTGCAACAAAATTAGGTCGTACAAGTGCTGAAGATTAGAGGTGTTACTAGAGAGTCACATTAAAAAAAAAAAGAAATGAGATATGGACGACAGATGTTTCATAGGAAAGAAGGTGCAGACCAGAGGGCCTACCAACCTCCTGCTCCCATAGCCTGGTTTACTTATATGTTTTTTTAATTTTTTATATTTTTTATATTGATCAGTGGTGTATATATAATTGGAAGAGTTATGATCCTCGTACTATGTATCATTTTCCCAATTGACAAACATGCTCTTATTCTCCGCTCAGGGAGGAATGGGAGCAGCTCTGATCACTCAGCCGGAGAAAGTGAGAGAAGTAAGTCATCCTTGTGCTCTTCTCTATCTCATAGCTTTATAATGTGTTGAAAATCTTACAGAATAAAACTTAACAGTCACTCTGTGCATCGCTGTGCCAAGCTTGAAAAGTCTGGCCCAGTGTCACTCAGTACAGGTCTGCGCCCATGTAGCCTGGCGATGTGTGACTGGCAGAAAGCTAGTGGTTACTAGGGGTTTTCCACCCTGGTTACCTGACCAGATAGCGTTTCTCCTACTGCTGGTTGTGTGACCGTAAAATGTTAAGTAACCAGTTTTATGCTTCTTAGTATCACTTTTTGTTTTCATGGAGAATCAGACTAACCACAACCTAATCTATATATAATCTGTGTGTGTTCTCTCTCTTTTGTTCTCTTTCTCTCGCTCTCATTCACCTTCCCTCCCATCTCTCTTTGTTGCCCCCTTCCTCCCCTCTCTTTTCCTCCCCCTTCCTCTCTTGCTGAAAGTAACTACCTATGTCCAACCTTTTTGCTCTCTTTATCAATAATGCTCTCTCTCTCTCTCTCTCTCTCTCTCTCTCTCTCTCTCTCTCTCTCTCTCTCACACACACACACTCTCTCTCTCTCTCTGTCTCTGTCTCTCTCTCTCTCTCTCTCTCTCTCTCTCTCTCTCTCTCTCTCTCTCTCTCTCTCTCTCTCTCTCTCTCTCTTCCTTTTTCCTTTCCCTTTCTGTGTACTTTTTTCCCTCTTTCTTCCCTCAGATTCTCACATTGCTGGTGAAGGAGCTCTCAGTTCCTGTGACGTGCAAGATAAGATGTTTGCCCAGTGTAAGTTTTTACTGAAAGAGACTGTAAGTTGAGTTATTGTATTGTTCTCTCACAGTGTAAAAACTGTAATGTTCTATCACAGTGTAAGTGTTACTGTAATGTTTTCTCACAATGTAGGTGTTACTGTAATGTTCTATCACCGTGTAAGTGTTACTGTAATGTTCTCTCACAGTGTAAGTGTTACTGTAATGTTCTCTCTCAGTGTAAGTGTTACTGTAATGTTCTCTCTCAGTGTAAGTGTTACTGTAATGTTTTCTCAAGCATCTTGTCCCTGACTTTTCTCCACTTTTTTTCTTCTTTCAATGATGGGAAACAGTTTGTTATCATGTTAAAACAGTTATTATATTCACCCATTGTTTTCTGTTTAACCCTATATTAGATGTGTCTATTAACTGTCTTTTTGTTTGCGTATGCAACTTTGTAGGTTTTCATTTTCTTTTTTCACTATGTCCCAATGGCGTCCCTGCCTACAAGGTGTACCTTTGATGACTTTAATCTGCACATTTTTTTGGTTTTTTGTCTGCTCTTCAGCTTGAAAAAACATTAGAGTTGGTCAAAATCATCGAATCGACGGGTGTGTCTGCGGTGGGCGTTCATGGGAGAACGAAAGACGAGAGATCTCGGAATCCGAACCGTGACGAGTTCATCCAGGCTGTGGCCAAGGCTGTGAAAATACCGGTGATTGCGAAGTGAGTTGTTGTCTCTGTAGGGGGGGGGGGGGGGGTCAGTCCACTAATACGGGTTGCCCATTGTGCATGGGATCGGGTCGGGATGATTGCTGGACTCGTCGCCTGAAAACAAACGCGTTTTTTTTTTAGGTGACAAGTCGTGCACAATCAGCTTTTGCCATGATAGCTGCCTTGTGCCCTCAGTCTGGCTAGCAAACTGACCCGATCCCCTAATGAGCTCCCCGTATTAAGGATGTGTGGGTGGGGGGAGACTAGGCCTGAAGGAGGTGTCACTATAAGATGTGGGGGGAAGTGAGGGAGGAGGACTCAAAAGGGTTAAATGGGCTAAGAGTAGCCTTCTGTATTTGGGGCGAATGTGTGCAATTTATCAGTGTTAATTCTCTCTCACTGTCACTATTTCCTTTCACAGTGAGCAATCAATGGACATTGAGATGTTTTCATGGAGAAAGTGTGATGTTTATTGATGTAAATTCTCTCTCACCGTCTCTTTCCCCTCCAATAGAGGTTCAATGTTCCTTGAGGTGTGTTTTATGGAGAAAGTTTTACGCTAAGTTGATGTAAATTCTCTCTCCTTGTCACTATATCTCCTCTCAACGGGGGAGAAATGGACATTGAGCTGTTTTCATTGACAAAGTGTGATGTTTGTTGGTGTAAATTCTCTCCCACCATGTCTCTTTCCCCCTCACAGTGGCGGCTCCATGGACATCAAGACGTTGGCCGACATGGAGCGGTTCAGGGAGAGAACTGGGGCCTGCTCCGTTATGGTGGCTCGCGCTGCCGAGTGGAACTGTTCTGTGTTTCGCAAGCAGGGGCCGCTATCCTTTCTGGATGTGATCAAGAGTTATCTAAGATATGTGAGTGAAAGATTGAACTTTTTTTTTATATAGCTGGAGGTCGTTGTTGCTCCTTGCTTTGTCATGATATTGAGCTGTGGTTGGTTGGAGAGCGCTACTGATAGGACGCTCTTTGTTTCCTACCCTTTTTTTTTTGGTGTTTTACGGCGCTCGCAACTGCATAAGGTCATAATAGCGCGCAGGACACACCAAACATTTTCAGTTGGTTGGAAATTTTGAATTTTGCACGGGTGGCGGCCGAAGCCTACTCTTATCGATTTTAGACCACCAAGGGGTTTTTAACATGCGCAACTTGCACATGGGACCTCCGAAATTTTTCGCCCTTGTCCGAGAAGGCTAGGTGTAGATTTTTCCTACCTGGAGATCAGGGGTGTGGCTGAAAGACAGCAGTAAGAAGGAGTTGCAGTAGAAAGGAGGGGGCAAAGAAGGTGGGGGCAGAAAGTGGAGATGAAAGCAAGACAACAGAACATTGCTAGAGAGCAGGAAAGGGGGTGAAAGGAGACAATTTTAGAGAAGAAAATTTTTCCGTCGCTGCCTGGATTTGAACCTGAGACCTTTGTATGAGAAGCGAGCACCTTAACCTCTAGGCCATGAGAGTCCCCTTCTTCCCTCTGTTGTTTTTATCAGTCTATTTTGTTTTTACCCTGCTTTATATATGCTCAATTGTGTTGATAAACTTTTTTATTTTTCCTAAACAAACATACTAGGATGTTATCAGGAAGATTTTAGAGCCTTTTTTATTATGTAGCGAGCTGCTTTTCTTCTTATTTGTGAGTACAGTATCCCCTTTCCATATTGGGGTTCACATTTCAGAGACTCGCTACATCGCATTTTTTATTCTAGCAGAAAAAATGAAAAGAAGGGAAATTCTAATGTTATCATATCACTTCTTTTTTTTTTTAGTACTGTATCCCTATTTGGTGTTGAATATTTGTAGGCTACATATAAAATGTGTCAAAATGGTAGTAAATGTTATGTTTATACACACACGCCACAATAAGAAAAAAGAAGAAAAATTAAGCAGACAGGAAAATTGATCATTTGTCTTCTCTCACCACAGGCATTTCAGTATGACAACAATGAGATGAATACTAAGTACTGCGTGCTGCAAATTATTCACGACAAAATGACGGAACTGTCGGAGGCGGACAAATGTTTGGCCGCAAAGTCTTTAGAGGAGTTTGCGTGAGTACAGATGACAATATTCACGTCTTCTTCAGAGGTCCCAATTTTCTAGAGGTCTGAAATTTCCCATGTTTTGTGTCATGTAGAAATAGTCTTGATACAAAAATGTATTTGAAGATATGATAAAAAAATTTTGAGCACATGTGTACCTGTTTCCTGAAAAGTCCGAAAATTCTGAATTTTTAAAACTTATAGCTAGTTGGGGCCTCCCAGCCTCTCTTCTTTTTTTAATCTCGAGCTCAAATTTGTTCCCTCTTGAATTCACGGCTTCACGCTTTTTTTTTAAATTCTGAAAATTGGAACTGTAGTCAATTCATAGTACAAAAAGAAATTCAAAACTTTGTCTCTTTTCTGCAGTGACATTTGGGACATGAGGTCTGAGTACATAAAAATTCTCGCTCAAAGAAAGGAGAGACAAGATGAACTGTCGCAAAAACACGCTGACCCGAACCACGGTGTCAAGAGACGGAAAGTGGAGGGTGGCTGCGTCCTCATTGAGCTGCCCGTCAGATACGACAAGTGAGTACTGTCCAACAAAATTGCCCCCCCTTTTTTATGTAGGTGTTTACACCCCCATCGACACATTTAGGAGTGTTGTACACCAACACAGCCGTGCGACTCGTCTCTTCCCCCCCCTCCCCTTTTAAAAAAAACACAATTTTTGATAATTTGGGAAGCAGTCTTCCGACCGTACCTGTCAGGGCCAACCTGGACTTACAGGTGTTCAACATCCGGTCAGAAAGACTGAGATACTTAATAAAAATTCTCCGCCCTGGGGAATTGAACTTTAGTTTCCTACATGCAACAGTGAAGTGTCTAACCTCCACACCACAGACACAGGTGGCCCCCCCCCCCCCCCCCCCCCGTGACGCCCAATAAACCACTAAAAAAAGTAGAACACTGTCTGGTGGCTTTAAAAATAATTTAATCGAGTTTTATGGAAAAGCAATTCAGTTATGGATTTTGTCCCATCTTTCCAGGTACAATTACAATGGTATCACTTGCTGCTAAACTTTTTTAAAATGAATTTTGTTGTGAAACTGTTGGATATGAAATATAAAATGGTGTACACACTTATATTAATATATTGTAAATTATTCTCCTCCTACTTCAGCAGCAGGGAGCAGTTTACAAGAAAATCTTCCAAGATTTTATAGCGTGCTCAAATAGACAAAGGTTGCTGTCTCAGAGGATTTTTGTCTTCTTCTTCCCTTTCTTCTTTGCCCTCTCCTCTTCCTCCCCCTTTTTCTTCCCCTCATGAGTCCACTCCAAGTAAAATCTTCCGGATGTGGCTTTGATGGTTTTTTTACAGGAAAAATAAGAATTAACCAGTGACACCCTCCAACCTACCACACTTTCATTAAATTGAATTCCCAAATTATTTTGATGTAATCCTGGGGAACTTGCTGTATAGGCAAACAGGCAAAGTTTCCATTTACAGGCAAACCTGTATGAATGACCAGTTTTATAAGAGAATCCCCAACTTTAAAAAAAATGTTAGTATGACACTATGTAAAAGGTCCACCTGTCTGAAATTGTCACTTGTCTCCTCGACAAAGGATGACTATCTTAAACAGCTTTGAGTGTATTTTTTCTTCGGCAGACGTTTGTACCCGTCTACTATGACGCCCAAACAAGTGCTCAATGACTGGTGTAAGAAATGTCACGTGAGAAAACCTGAGTACGACACGGTGAGTTTTGGAATTAGTTTTAGTAAGAATTCAACGGCACTTGCCACACAAATAGGTCATATAAAGGCATAAGATAGGAGGTATTCCTTGAAAGTAAGGTACGAAGAAAAAGAAAGAGGAGAGTAGTGCAAGAAATATCATGTGGGAAAACCTGAATGTGAGTTGTTGTGGGAGAAATATCAAGTGTGAAAACCCAGGTATGAGTTTTGTCTTTAGGAAATATCATATTATCATGGGGAGACTGGAGTTAGACATGGTTATTTGTTGGGGAAGTGTCTCAACTTGTCACGATATAAATTTTCGTCTTCAGCAAACGTGGGAAGTATTTATGGTGTTATAATGTGAGAGATATTATTAATGCAGTATTATGTGGGAGATATTCTTAGTGTTATTATGTGTTATTATTATTATCATACAGGGGCATTATTTCGCTAGAGATAAGAAGAATTGAGAAGTTGTTGTTCCGACAGTTTCATAACCTGATTTATCTTGTGTACTTTAAATAAACTGCTGCTGTCCTTTGTGATGATATGTGTATATATTACGTTCAGGATATCAGACCATGACCCAATTTTCAGGGCACATTTCTTCTCCTTGACATTGGTGCCCAAGTTGTTTAAACCAACTTGAAATCACTTGACCTGTTTTACTTCATTCTAAACCCTGTATTCCTTGTTGACATCTTCCAAAACTGGGTCACTGATAAGAATGTCTAACCTGCCCAGTAGTTGAATCTTTATAATGGAATGTCTTTAGTTGGGTTTTTTTTTAATCTAGGTGTTTTACATCCCCTTCAACACTATAGATCATTTAGAAAGCAGGCTGCTTTGACCCTGCCTGTCATGGCCAACCCGAGCTGAGAGGGATATAATGTCTCAGCAGAAAGTCAATAAAATTCTCCTCACATTGGAATCAAGCTCGAGTCTACTGCGTGTGACGACCAGCAGCAGTGTGTAGCAACAGCTACATCTCAGACTCTGGTCATGTCTTTAGTCCCCAGAGTACAAGAGAGCTGATGGGCTATACAGGGTTGCTAGCAGGCTCAGACAAAAAAACCCTGAAAATTTTTCGGTATAAAATTCTATGCACGGTGCGCTGCATTTCATTAAAAACGTAAGATATCAACATGTGCCAAAATAATTAATACAGAGGCCTAGGCCTATTAGACCCGCTGTGGTCTTCCTTTAAGTCTAGCCGGTGCTGGGTTACAATTTGTTGACCAGGCAGAAAATATTTTCCTGGCTGCGCCAATCTTGGCCTGAAAAGCCGTGAAAGCCGGAGGATTTTAAAAAGCTGGTTTAAGCAGGAAAACTTGCAACCCTGGCTATGACATGGGTTTTTTTTTACCCTTTGTTTAGACTTAGGACTTTCGTATAATTTTCAGACATTGGTTTGTTTGTTTTTCTCAGACTGAGAGAGCAGAAGACAGATGTTTTCACAGTACGGTCAAAGTGGAAGGCAAACTTTACACTAATCCTTACTGGTGAGTCACTCAAGGGTCAATCTTGGACATGTTGACCCCGCCAAGTGACCCTGATTCCGTGTCGTATTTCAAGATGGGTTTTGCCTTAAGTCTTTGGTTGTGTGATGGGTATCGGAGGTGTAGTACCGTGTAGATCCAACATTTCATTTCCTATGTTTTGAGCAACTGTTTGTCGAAAACTATTCTTTTAGCTTGATCTATTCCTAGCTCTCATTACAACCAACATTTGTTCTTGCGCGTATCAGCTTAACTAGCTACATACATGCCTGTATCTTAGGTCATAGAATGTCCTCGGCAAGCTAGTTTTTTTTTTTTTCTATGAAAATGTACTTAGCACAGAAAACAAAATTTTTCTGGAGAAAAAATGAAACTGTTTCATTCTTTTAACAATTTTACCTCAACCTTGTATATTTTTCTTGCTTTTAAAAAATTTAGTATTCAGGGATGCCACTCAACTTTTTTAAAAATAGCTGAAAATCCAAGCGCCACAGTCTCACTAACATATGAATATCAATTTGAAACCCAAAGGGTGTACATAGAGAGAAATGACAAACAAACATAAGCACTCCCCGTTATTTGAACTTATGGCGAAGTCTTCGTTTTTCTGTTGTTTGAACATTTGGCGCAAGTTGTTGTGTGTGTGTGGATTTTTTTCTTTCTTACTATAGATTCTATCTCGATCTCAATAACGGAATAGCGGATCAGGATCAAAATACTGGAAAAAAGCGGAAAAGTGGCATCCCTGAGTATATGTCTTTGTACCAAATATTTCTTAAGCACATGCAACCAACACCTTAGATTTTTTAAAACTGCAATAAAAATGCTGAATTTTTAGGTGAGTATATTTGAGAATATACAGTCCATGCCGGCTTTAAGCACGGTCATCGGGAGAAAGCTTAAGCGTGCTTAATGCCGAAACGTGCTTGAGTGCGAAGTAGACATAATCCAGAGATTTTCATGTAGAAAATTTCATGTGCTATTTCCCTTTGTTTGTAAGTAGGCCTATAGCGGTCCCGCAAAAGTGTGCACTGTTATTTTTACCCGCCATGGTAGTTTTTGTTTGCTTGTTTGTTTTTGTTTTGTGGTCAAGTGGGAAATGAAAACTTAATTTAGACGGCCAGTCACGATACAGCACACAAGGCCTACACACTGCCTGTGCGTACCACTGCCCGCTGTGCCACATCCATACCACCGCCTTTATCCCACCTCGCGTGTGATACACAATCAGGATTAATGGATAGCGAGGGTCAAATGTTAAATCGCAGCCAGCTTCCCTCTCTCGTCACCCCGACTCTCTTTGTATTTTTTCTTGTCTGTATGTAGCTTTGCCTTAGGCTAGATCCTATGTCCACGCGCGCGGCTGTGTGCATCTCTCTGCCTTCCTTTCCGCGCGTGTGAGTGTGTGTCCATCACTTGCGTTCTTTGTGTTTCTCTAAACACTCTCCTCTGCTGCAGTGTAGACTCTGTTCGAACTTTGATGGGTCATCATGAAAGTATTGACTGTCTTGTAAATGAAGCGTGCCTGAAGCCAAAGTTACCGTTCTTAAAGGCGTGTAATTTATATAGCAAAGATTCAGTAAGAGCCGTTTTTAGCATGCTTGAGTCCGAAAAGTGCTTTATGCCAGCTTGCTTAGAGCCGGCACGGACTGTACTACCATCTGTTGTAACAGATCTGTTTCTCTACTCATCACCATACTCCGATACATATCCATTTTTGTATGCACTCTTGTTTGTGTGAGGACTCGCTCTTTTTTCCAAGAATTAAGTTTAGATTTATCCAAGAGTGAGCAAAAGTTTTCAGGTCTTACTATTTGGCTCCATACTGCAGAATAGTTTGAACTGTTATTTGGCCTAAATAGTGGTGGATTTTCCTGACTGTATGCGTACATCCACTTCTTGTATGTGACAACTTAAGATCTTGTAAGTTTTTTAAATGCTTGAGCGCTTAATCGGCTGCTTGCACTGTTTGCTTCCCTGGAAGCTGAGATGGTTGCTGAAAGTTCTAGGGTCTGCTGCAGTAATAATATAGGTAGTAAAGTGCATAGAGCTTGCTGTTGAGTTGGAATATAGGCTATGCAAATGCTATTATTTATTATGATAATTATTTTTATTATTATCTGTACGTCTATTTCAGGGAAAAGTCAAAACAGCTAGCTGAGCAAGGGGCTGCCATTTCCTGTCTGGTAGTTTTGGGAGAAAGTGATGGCCGATTGGCTGAACCACAGAATGAGAGCGAAGATCTCCGCAGGAAATGGAGGACGGTCATAGCTGAGGGGGGCGGTGGCGACTCAGAGCAAGAAGTTGGAGATGTCGGAGGTCAAGTCTCTGTGACAGACAAGGGTCAGGGGGACATGAGTGGTGCTGTTGTCAATGGAAGCACAGAGTAAATGCTCAACAGGCTCAACAGACTCAACTTGTTTGTGGGGACACTTTCTCTTGTTTTTTTGCGATTGTTTGATATATATATTATATATGTAACAAAGTGTGTCACAACACGCTGAAATCAGACTCCTCTAACCCCCCAGGGTGGTGCCACTGACTGAAGTGTCTTTAGGCCATTCACAAAGGGGGGGCATTTCTCGTTCATGCACAGTAGAATTGTAAATGGGCTGATTCTTCAATGTCACGCTCATCATAACTGTGCCTGATCTACAACAGGGAACTGCTGCTTTTTCTTTCCTAATCCTTACTATTGCAATATTTCCTCTACTTCTTTTGTATGTTTGTCCCACTCTTGCGACTCACTACCTCCGGGGTGCCTTGATAGTCGAAGCAGACTTTGTGCTGTTGAAGCTAGAGAGGTGAGCAGAGTAAGTCTGATTCCCTGTTGTAAGGACTTCTCTGTTGACATCCACCCCTTGGCACTCATATGACCTTATGAAGTTGCGAGCGCCGTAAAACCTCTACTAAAACTAAAACTAAGACACCTCAGTTTTTGGGCATGGGGGGATGGGGGGGGGGGGGGGGTCATTGACATAATCTTAAAGCCTGTTCATTTTACCTGCTTTTGATTGTAAATTTCCCCATATATCTTTAATAAAAAGTCAAGATATTTGCGATTGAATGAGACAGGGGCCGCCTGGTGAGAGAAATTGGCCACCGAAGTTTGGTGACTTCCAAAGCTTGAGTGTCCTTGGAAACTCCAAATTTGTGCCTTTGGTCAATATTCTTGTGCAGAATCCACACAGAAATGTGTTTTTAGGTGGACATAAAAGATCATGAGGTGTCTCCCCCAAAAAAAAATAAAAACACAATTATCGTAAGGGTGAGAAAATGCTGGCTTCTTTGATTTTATTATTTGGATGAGCAGCTGATTTCACCACGGTGCCTCCTCTCAATATATTGTAGTAATGAAAAAAAAAAAAACACCAAAAAAATTTTTTACTTCCCAGGCGAAGCTGTATCTTGCATACTTCTTTAAGATCGTCTGTCAAAACACAGAAAGTCATAGAGGTGAAAGGATGGAGATTCATTTTTTTGTTTCATCATGGTCATCTTCTATGTGACAATATGTATTGTGGTGAAAGTGAAAGTTTTGAGACGTATTAGCTTGTTTTATTATGATTATTTAATACTCAGTATGTGACAATTTGTTATAGAGGTGAAAGGTTGGAGATCCATTCTCTTGTTTTATCATGAACAACTGATTTTTATTGTTTGTTTTTTTTGGTGTGTATTTTTTTACACCTTCTTTGACACAAATAAGATTATTTAGGAGACAGGGTTTTGACTCTGCCTGTCAAGGCCTACCCGGGCTGAGAGAGATACAACATCCCTGCACAAAGACTGAGATATTCTATAAAAAATCCTGCCCACTTTGGTCTCCTGCATGCTACAGTGAAACATGTATGTAGCAGTCTTCATCACAGGTGCTGGTCGTCTGATGGGTGACAATATAATTTTTTATATTGTTGTTGTGAAAGGTTGGAGACACGTTCGCTCATTTTGTTGTGGTCTCTAGAGAGAGAGAATGTTGAGTTCACTTGTGTGCTTTGATGGTTCAAGAGAGTTTGATTTTACCTGGAAGGAGCTAGACAGAGAGAGAATATTTTGTTTTATTTTACCATGGTGAATTTAGACAGAGAGAGAATGCTGGGTTTAATTTTATCTGCATGGACTGGATGGTTGGATACGAGGTTTGTTCTTTATTTGTATTTTATGGAAACAGTATATATATTGGTGATACTTCATGGACCCATACTTCATATATATGTGAAAGCGGAATTTGTCATGTTTGTAAATGTAAGTGAAAAATACTCAATTCAAGTTTTTTGTAGTTATTACTTTGTTGTTTCTCTCAACTTTACCTTGATAATAATAATACAGTAATAATAATAAATGACATTTATATAGTGCTTATCCCCGATTAATAGGGGCGGGCACGAGACGAGCCGAGTACTCGTTTCTCGTGAGAAACGCCCTTCCCGTCACTGCCCGGGCATTAAACTACTGCTCGGTACCAAGGCGTGATACTGCTCGTTGGCTTGACATAACGAGAGTGAGAGACATGAAATGACAATGCAGACAGTGCCACCCATCACCGTGCCGTCCTGTGTGTGAAACTGAAAGGAAGGGGAGAGGGTGGCGAGACGAGGCGAGTGGGGAGTTGATCAGGGCCTAGGCCTAGGTCGTCTCCCTACCTTCCTTCACCACCTGCGCCTGCGCACCAGGGCAAGCCTAGTGTCTAAGTTTAGATTCCCGCAATGACCGGCCTTCCCGCTAAACGAGTTGCTCGTTCTGTGGGGCGAGAAAAGAAATCTCGGCCACGGCCGGCCTTCTCACTGAACGAGCGGCTCGAACTGTGGGACAAGAAGAGAAATTGGTCTTGATACGAGAAGCATTGCTCGAGACACGAGACGGGAAGTATTTTTTGTTCCCGGGACCGGTCCTGGCGATAAGTAGGTCAGCTTCTCGGTCTTCTCGCTCGGGAAGGAAAAAGCGCTTCCCGCCCGTCTCTACTGATTAAAGTACACAAGCTCTGAGCCCTTTACAATACATTACAACAGTAACATAAAATGTGTACTGACCAAAAGAAGATCTCTCCAACTATTTATCTTATTAATGATGACATTGTACAGTGGCAACTTTTCTTCTATGTTCTCTCCACAACTCGCACTTAGCCAAAGTAACCTTCTTTGTTCTTTGCCGTAAATTCCCTGAAAGAACCCATTATACTGTAGTGTATAATAAAATACATAAATAAAGCACAATACCTTTTCTGTTTTATCGATTCCCATAGAAGGGAAGTGTGGTGAAAGTATGTCAGGTGATACAAGTACAATTTAATAGATGGCTAGCAGAAAAACATAATGTTATTATTAGTGATTACATCAACAGATGGAAACAAAGATGTTCAATTTTTTGTTTTCAATTGGTCAAACTGATCATATAACACTGATGGCAACATATGAATATGACTGATGCATGCCATTGTTAGAGCGGCAAAGATAAGCGCTTGGCTGGTGTGAAGTTTTGACCACTGCTTGCTTACTAGACAGGCTACTCTGTAATTCATCTCGTATGGCTTTCCCAAGGGACCCCCACCTCCCAAATTTCCATAAAAATAATATGTGTATCCTAATCCTAATCCGAGATGGAAGACGCCAAAGTAAAAATTTTTTTCAGGCTCTCTTGCAATTCCTTCTACGCCAGGTTTGACTGCATTTTTAAATTCTGGCTCAGATCATGTCTTGAAAAGTTAGGCATTCGTGGTGACCTCTGATGTCCTCAGGGGATAAAGTGAAGGAACTACATGCACTATGACTATGATGTACCACAAGACAATCTGATCTCAGGGACAGTCTTCTCATCTTGTTCCTAGTATGCTAAACTCTCAAATGTAACCTGCATCAAGATTATTGTTCTAAACTCAAAAGCCCCTGGACAGTTGCGTCAGTTGTCAAGTGGTCAGGCTGCTGGACTCATAATCGTTAGATTGTGGCTCTGGGGTTCGAGGCTCAACTCGTTCAGACTTTGAGTCCTTGGGAAAGGCACTTTATTAACATTTTTCCTTTTGGCTCAGTCCTATTGGAGATGAACGTCAAATTCTGAGGTCCCGCCTTTTAAAAAAATAACCTTACGGGAAGGCGCGGGTCTTCAAAATATGATGTTTGGGTCAAAATATCGATTTTCAACTTTTTACATTTTCGGGTTCCTGGATATTTTGGGAACCGATACCCCCTGACCTCCATTAGAAAATATTTTTTAAAAATCGTTTTAGGATCATTTCCTTTAGGGTACCTTCCTCAAAGTAGGGCCCATTTTTTTCATCAAATAAGCCCCAAATGAGCCCATAATTAGATGGAGATGACAACAACATGTCTCCACGTGACCCTAACATGTTTAGTATCGTTGTAACCGCAAGCTTCTCCTCTTCCAAACAGTAAAACAATCTTAAGTGATGCGTTTCTGGCAGTTTAGTTATGAAGCAGGACACACAACACCCCATTTTGTAAATCTTAGTTTGTTTTGAACAAAATGAATCCCCGGTACTAAAAATACTGACCATGACGTCAATATTCAGTCAGAGATTGCCGCGCGGTAGGGAATCTTCAACAGTTTTTAAAATGATTATTGCTACTGTTTTCTTTCGATTACAAAAGCCCGTTGGACTGTTTTCACCAACGGAACCACCAAATTTGCTTTTGTGTTTGGCGAAACTTTATCGTGTTTCTCACTTATCTTTATTTTAGTTTTAGTGCAGTCTTGTCTGTTTTTGTATGTTCATTCAGTACTCGTAAGAAAGTTGTGTTCAAATTAGTATACATTTCAGTTTGTTTTTTTCCCATGGTTTGCCCATGCATTTACTTTGATGTGTGAGTGGTGGAGGGTTGTTGGTAATGCAGGAGTTTTTTGTTTGTTTGTAGGTCGTTTTTGTGAGGGGGGGGGGGTAATGCAGGTGTTTTTACGCGTCTATTGACACAATTTAGATCCTTTAGAAAGCTGGCTTTCGACCCTGCCTGTCACTGTCAGAGCTGACCTGGACTAAGACTAAGAGGGATACCACATCCCAGCAGAAAGACCCAGCTACTCAAAGGAAAGTCTCAATGCTCAGGAACCGAACTCAAGTCTCCCGAGTGGGATTGTGAAGCGCCTGATCGCTACACCACACATATTGATTGTTTGTTTTTTGTTAGGGGGTATGGGATTTTAAAAAGTGAGAAAACGAACACGTATGAGCGAGAGAGAGAGAAAAGAGAGAGAGGTGATGTGATGTTTAGAGATGATGTTGCATGTAAGAGTATTCTGTGTCACAGATCTCGTGAGGGCACACTGCACGTTTCGAAAAATGTTTGGTCAAAATAATAATATAGCTTGCCTTATCTTACAAGCTAACAATGAAAGAGACACTGTTATGAACGTTTTGCTAACTTATATACTTGCTGCCGTAGAGTTGAAAATTATTGTCCTGACGAGGCCACAGTATTACATTGGTCATTGTTATTTTCGTTCACAAATATAATATTAATAGCATTAAAAAGTTCACCTCAATGAAAATTTCAAAGCTTATAAGCAAAGCAAACCTTTCCAAAGGAATGAAGGGAATTAACACAAGTGTAGGATTAGCTGTAGCGTTGTAAACTTATGAATTCC